GCACTGCCCATGTGGGGACAGGAAAGGAGGGCAGGAAGACGGGAGGCACAGCAAGAGTGTGGCCCAATCATGGCACTGCCCATGTGGGGACAGGAGAAAATAGCAGGAGGGCGGAAGGTACGGTGAGCATGTGGCCCAGTCATGGCACTGCCCATGTGGGGACAGGAAAGGAAGGCAGGAGCACGGGAGGCACAGCGAGAGTGTGGCCCGGTCACAGCACTGCCCACCTGGAGACACCCTTCCTGTTCTAGATGACTGCAATGTACACAGCCTCCTTTGGACAGGAGCCCTGCTGGGTCACACACAGTCCAGGTATGGGCCAGCAGGATTCCGGTCACCCCCCTCACATCACCACACACACTGTGAGGCACAGCCATACAAAGACCAAGCCCAGAACACAGAACTGCCTGAACCGCACACAGGCACTCCCTGCCACCTCCACCCGGGCCCGCCGGCCTCTTGCTTAAACCACACTGGCCTGTGTGACTCCTGGGGATGGGACCTGCTGCTCTCTCCAGGCAGCTCACAGGCCAGCTGGAGCAACAGTGACACATGCTTCAAGTTCAATGCAGGAAGAGTGTGCATCACAGAATCACAAAATCACACATAAGCATATGACACTACACGCATGTGTCTCCCTAGGAGACAGAGTGTGCTTCTGATGTATGTATATTTAGATACACATAGAAAAAATCTAATGGGGTAGATATCAAACTGTTAAAGGTAAATGACATCTGAGAAATGGACACAAGAAGGATTTGCTTTACTTTTTACTTTCTACTTTGGGTAAAGTTTGTAAAATTTTTAAACTATATTTTCATTCATTAAAACTTCACAGACTATAAACTAAAGCTGAATACAGCATAATGTATTAGAATATTTACAAAAGCACTGTTTTGGTTTTCTCTTACTCTAGAAAATAAAAGCTGATGCTCTAAAAATACCCACGTTATGCTGACATATAAACAAACATTGAAATCATCTGAATGACTCTACAATGCTCTACACAGAAATACTCACTAAAACTCTGAAGAAAAATAATCAGTGTAACAAAATTAGAACTGGCTGACAAACAAGAGCAGCCAAGCAAATAGCTGTGAGATTTCTTACTTTGTCACCATAAAAGAAAACTAAATCAGAAATACAGAGAAAAACAAAATGACAAAACATGGATCATTTTAATTGCAAATGCCAAAAACTAAAAATATTTGTACAATTTTCATTTTTCCTTCCCTAGAGATGTGTGTTACTAATACAATATTATGAGCGGGCTGCTTTTTATAAGATGGCAAAGAGTATTCAGCTATGAATGCTGTACTCACTTTCAAATATTCAAGTGAAACTAACAAATGAGCAAGATAAGGCATGGAGAAATAAAGTTTTATTATTTCAATGTTTCATAGATTAGTAAAGAAAAAGTATAAAAGAATATGAAAATTCAGTGCTTTCTTGATTTTTATTTTGCTTGTTTTTATTATTTTTAGGAGACAGGGTTTTCTTGCTCTGTTACCCAGGCTGGAGTGCAGTGGCAAGATCATAGCTCACTGCAGCTTCAAACTCCCAGGTGCCAGCAACCCTCCCACCTCAGGGCTACAGGTGGGTGCTACCATGCCTGGCTATGTTTTTTTTATTTTTTTGTAAAGACAGGATCTTGCTATGTTGCCCATGTTAGTCTTGAACTCCTGGCCTGAAGAGATCCCCTCACCTCAGCTTCCAAAAGTGCTGGGATTATGGACCTGAGCCACCACATCCGGTCTTGCTTTGTTAATTTAGATCTAACCAGCACAGTGTAGTATCTGACACACAGCAACAATAAATGAGAGAATAAATACCATACCAATAATAAGAGCAGTAATATGTCAACTCCCAATTAATAACAGCCTACCATGTATCAATCAATCACTTTTCAATGAGCACTACATATATTTTTAAATTTATAATTTAGGATAACCATATACAGATAAAAGAGCCACATTTTCAAGTGAGGAAATAAAATCACACAAAGAGTAAGTAACTTCAGCAAGATTACCCAGCGAATTATGGGAAAGCCAGGATCAGATTCCAAGTGGAGCTAGCACTAAGGCACCTGTTCTTCCCTTCAAGCCGCACAGCCGGTCACCAGAAGTCAGTGTTTTCATACCTGTGTGTATCCTAATGTGTCGCGTTAACTGGCTTGGCTTTTGAAACGTCTTTCCACAGTGCGGACACGAATACGTAAACCCACTTCTGTCGATGTTCCGGTTATAAGACCTTGTACTTGATACCCTAGTGCAAAAAGGGGGGCAAAATACAGTCAAGTGGTCTCTCTTGTACCTTTGTACCATAATTTCAAAACGAAAATCCTACCACAAAATTTGGATGACTAGTCATCAGAACCTGTTTTAATGATAAATTGATCATATATGTGTATGTGTGTGTCTGTGTGTATATATGTTAGTTTTAAAAATCACAAAATTCCTTTTTCTCCATTTTTGATAAAAAAAAATACTTGCTTTTTTTCCAGGTCAAAAAGTGAAATTGGGGTGGGGGAGCAAAATGTCTCTTCTAGACAGAGCTTTACCTGGATGGTCAGAAACCAAAATGCTACGGATATCATTTCTACACTGACACCTGACCCACGCCATCCCTCCAGGCTCTTGCTTTAGTACCATCCACACACCAGTGATGTCCAAACTCCTACCTCCAGCAACTCTGCCTGGACCGCCATCTCTCACTTGGCATTGCCTCATGGGTGGCGTTCCAAACAGAACTCTTCATTGATTCTCAACCCGCCCCTTTCCACATCAAGACATGAAAGCTCCCTGCTGCGCAAGTTTAAATCTCAGGAGTCACGCTGGATTTTTCCAGTCTATCTCCAAAAGCTGCTGCTCTTACTCTGAAGCACCTCCAAATGTGGTCGCAACTCTCCACCCTCCAGCCGCCATCACAGCCTCCGAAGAGGATCGGCTCTCCAGTGCATTGCTTCCATAAGCCTCCAAAAGGTCTCCCTGCTTTCCACTCCTGCCCACACACCCAGCCCAGTGCCACCTGTCTGGTCATGCTCTTCCTTTGTGAAAAACCCTCCAACGGCTCCCATTCCACTCATGGGAAATGCACATCCCCAGCCCCACCGGGGCAGGCACGCCTCACCCCGCCACCTTCCTGCTTTTCCGACCCTGGAGGCTCACTGCTTCCACCAACACACTCCTCAGCCTAAAAGGCGCGTCGCCTAAAGCTGCAGAGCTCCCTGCTCCTCACCCAAGTCTCCTTCCAAAAGCCCCAATCAGAAAGGCCCACGCAGAACAGCCGCCTCCCCAGCCTCCCTCAGCCTCACACTGCACACTTCCATCCAAGTGGCGTTCTTTCTCAGCACTTGCCACTATCTGAAACTGTGGTACTGACCAACCCACTCACTTGCTCACTGCCTATCTTCCCCACTAAAGGGCAGTTCTGTAAAGGCGAGGCTTCATCTGTCTGGTTTGCCCCTCGGTCTGGAAAGACCTAGAAGCCAAGACTGTCTGAGTGCCATGAGCACCAAAACATCTTCAATCATCTCTCTCAAACCTTCAAGGAAACATCAGAAATGCCTGTGCGAAAGTCTCATCAGAATAAAAATCTGGAGTGTATAGAGACCATGTATTACATTGGGGGGTTTAAAAATCACTGAAATTAACATCCAATTGGCTGGGGAAAAAAGAAAAAAAAATCATTTAAATCATAAAGTATTAGGTGCGTACCACATTAGTGAACAAGAGGCAAAATGAAAGGAAAAGACAGGAGGCGGCTGATCATACAGAGATGTCCAGGCCACATTTCTCAAATGCAATGTCTAAGAGGACAAACAAACATTAGAGTCTTCAGGCATTTTATAAACCATATTGATCAACCGGCGTGGACTTCTTCTTGTTAAGAAGTACAGGTATTTCCTAAATATTGCAGCTTAGAAGGATGGCAAGCTAAACTGATAATATCGTAGCTAAAATGGTAATTGGTACTACCTTTTATTTTTATTTTTGATTTTTTTTGGAGATGGAGTTTCACTCTGTTGCCCAGGCTGGAGTGCAGTGGTTCAATCTCAACTCACTGCAACCTCCACCTCCTGAGTTCAAGCGATTCTCCTGCCTCAGCTCCAGAGTAGCTGGGGCTATAGGCATGTATGAGCCACCCCACCGGGCTAATTATTAATATAGGCGTGTCTTACCCACCATACCCAGCTAAAATTAGCCACCCCACCTGGCTAATTTTTGCATTTTTAATAGGGACAGGGTTTTACCATGTTTGCTAGACTGGTCCTAAACTCCTGACCTCAGGTGATCTGCCTGCCTCAGCTGCCCAAGGTGCTGGGATTACAGGTGTGAGCCACTGCGCCTGGCCTGATACTGCCTTTTAGAGTTTGTTGGAGAAATTTGCTAAATTAGTGTGAAAATTGATTATCACCATTAGCTAACTTGAGCACAAGGGCCAGGAAGAATATTTTATTTTGCTTTATTAAGAAACAAAAATATTAGTACAAATATATTATCAAGAATTAGGTAAAGTATAAAAATTTTTAAACATGTTAAGTTTGACTAGGAATAAATATATTCAAATACAGTCAGATGTTAAGATTATGAGCTCTAAAATCAAACTATTAGGGTTTAAATTTCAAACTCTTGACTTACAAGCTACAAAATCTCATGAAACTACTTGGTCCCTCTAATCTTGGTTTTTCTCATCTATAAAACAGGAACATAAAAGTACCCTGGCCTAGCAGGGTTGTCTGTCGTGATGAAATGAGGCTCTGTTGATAGACACGCTAAGAACAGTGTCAGGTGCATATGAGTGTTAACAGTTGGGTGCTACAAACTAATGGATTAAAAGGGGTACTAATTAAACCCTTGTGCGCCTAGTTTACATATTTTGTTACCTACCCATAAAAATGTACTGCCAGGGCCCTGTTCTACAGCTTTTAACGTTATAATAGCAGGTAAACCCTTGTACCCACATAGCCTGACACGATTCATTAATGTGTAGGGATGAACTGTGCATGCTACGAAAGACATTCTGACACCATACCAAATTATCTGTGTGGTTCCACTTTGCTGTGTTCTTGCAGCAAAAATTTCTAATGGGTCATAGCAAAGTGAGCCAACTTTTAACATATGAGCTGGATTTTTTACCAAGCCCAAGTAATGACTCATACCTAATTTTGTAATGAGTCTTCATATGTTCCTTCAGCTCCGAGGAAGTCTCAAACTCTTTCTTGCAGGCCTTGCAGGCATGCTGCCGGGTTCCAGCCAGCTCCTGACGGTGCTCCTCCATGTGCATGGCCAGCTGACTCTGCAGAGTGAACTCATCCCCGCACTCAGAACAGATGAGATTCTGGAACAGAAAACCCACCAGTGAGCAGAGCAAACCTTTCAAAACCACACCTTCTTCAAAGAACTGGTAATGCACAAATTACATGAAAACTACTTGGTCTCTCCAATCTTGGTTTTGATCTAATACTCTCCTCTGGAACAAGCAGCGCTTTTACCTCTCAAAAATAATTTGAATATACAAAAATCATTTTTATATTAGAAGAAAAGGATGGAAATGCTGGGAAAAGGGTGAGAGATCAACACCATTTTGGAGCAAAGTGAGTTCTGTTTTGAATTGGTGTTGGGTAACTGGCACTGGGTCCGCCTGTGCTGTGAGCACTTTAGAGAAGCGGAATGACCTCAACACTACAAAGAGTCAGGAAAGAATTCAAAGTAAGATTACGGTTTAAGAGACAACCTTGAAACAAAATGACGGCTTTTAAGGTTTTAACAGATAGATGGCATCATTCTCTCATTTGGTTTACAAGCAGAGCAGAGCGCAGGCTGTGGCCTGGCTTACTGCCCTCATGAACCAGGGACTCTCTGAACCAAGGCATGGGGTCACTGCAGAACATACACACACACAGGAGTCCAAAGACTCAGAGCAAAACACAAGAATGTAAAATAGCTCAGTAATCTTTAATATCTCAGTTCATAATATCTTGAACATATTTTAATAAATATATTAAAAATTATTTCACCTGTTTGGGGTTTTCTTTAAAAAATGTGGCTTCTAGAAAATTTAAAATTACTCATGTTTCACTTAGATGATGCTGGTCTACATGTTCTACTGCTGGGTCTAGGTTCACCTTAAGGCTGCCATTCGCTAGCTAACCTGCCAGTTTGGGTGTGCTGCCCACCCTAAGCCTATGAAACACGGATAACAGTAACACCTGCCCTCCCAGAGCTGTTAGAAGGTTAGATAAAATGACCAGTGTGAGACGCTGACCGTGTGTGGCCTAGAGTGAGTCCTCAGTAATTACTTCACTGGTAGCCACGGCTGACTGAGCACAAACTTCAGTTAATTCACTCCCTTGGAGTCCCATAACACAATCACAGTATTTACTTAAATGAACTGTCCAAACATGAAAAAACATATGACCTGCCAATGAGCATAAACTATTTCCAAATAATAAAATACATTGTTTTTTTCTATCAGACTGTCTTCTAATCTGCACATACTAGTTTGTAAATAAATGTATGTAAACCTCATTAAATGAGGTTGTTTATTGATACTACCTCTAGCTACATTGCAGGAAAAGACAAGGAAAAGTGAAATATTTTGAGAAATCCAAAAATCATTTAAATAATTTAAGGAAATAACAAACTACTAGATTTTTACTGACTTGTTGATAAAACAAAATTTGTTCTAGGAAACCCCCCCCCCACAAAAAAAAAACAATCATAATTTGATGTATCTCTTAAAAAAACAAAAACAAAAAAACCTCTGCAGTCCTGAATGTGTATAGCAAAAGAAAGTGCACTGCTTTCATTAACACTGATTACCCACTACCCTCCTGTCTCAAAATCACATCACAAAACCACTCACAAAAACCCCACTGCTTTCCATACTGTTTCTGTCCTGGCTCACACCTACTCTTTTTTCACTTACTCTTTTACCAAATGATTCAATTCATGTATTTCAGGGATACCTACATGGATATTACTCATGCATCTGTTGGATCTGCCTGAGTGACAACCCAGTTTATGCACAACGTGCTCAGATGGTGCGAGCAGGATCCAGCACCTCCCAGGCCACAGCCAAGACCTGCCTCCTTACAGAAGGTTCCATCACTATCTCTCTGCTTTCTCTTCTGCAAGCCATAAAGAGCCCAGACGCTCCTCCCTCGCCTTGCCCACCCTAAATACTTGTGGAAGCCTTCCACAAGGAAAACAGCACCTCGTGCATAATCACAGGCACTAGGACAACAGACCTTCCACTTACTACGTCTCTCAGCTAGAAGCAGAGGCTGCCGGGACAGGAGAGAATCATCAAGAGAAATGCATGCCATTTTGACCTGTCTCCACCTTGCTGAAGATATGATCATCTCTTAAGAGGCCAGCTTTAGGTACTGACTGCCTTGAGGCTGCTCTCCTGTCCACTCCCCACCTTAGGATGGCAGCGTGTGTTCACCAGGACTCCGTGTGTTGGACTGTTCCCTTTCTCAGAATCCCCTCCATAATCCCCACCACATCATCATCCTCTCTCCTGTCTGGCCTTCTCAGGAGCCATGCTTCTTTTCCTAATGCAGCATGCCTCGGCTGACCTCAGGCACTGCTGGACACACACAATAAGCCTAACACCCCCCACACACACACAAAATGCTGCTCTTCTCTCAACACTTAGGGAACCTGGTCCATCACTACTCATTTGCACATGCTGCTGAGATGATCAATAAATGTGAACAATGTCTTCCGTGAGCTTGTTGGTGGGTGTGCAGATATTGTTTCTCCAGATATTCTGTAACACCCCTTAACGGAAGTGATTTACTCAAAAACTAATGTGAACCTCAATAATTAGGTGACTGTTAAGAAAAATTCCTAAGTGATTTAAAAACTACAGCTTTTCTGGTTTGCTCTTCTGGGTTTGAGATTTATTTGGACAGAGTAGTGACCAGTATGAATTTCAGACTGTCAATAGAGCAGTAACTAAAAATTAGATTTCAGTGTTCTGAAAGTAAAAACTTAAAAATGGAACACCTTAAACTAAAAAGTTAATTATAGTTTCTAAGCACATATAAGAAGACATGTTTACATGCTATTTCTTAAACAAATTTTCATGAGGCATACTTTACATATAACAAATCCACCCATTTTAAGTTAACTTTTTACCACTCCAATCCAGTGTTGATGATTTCAGAGTTTAACCCTTAGAAAGCAATTTTAGTCCTATTTCCGAGTTTTCAGGGGACCCTGCACTGGTGCGCCCAATACTGTCTACACCCAACAAATTGCTGGGTACTTCACTGACGTTCATTTCACCTCATCTTCAGCCTCACTGAAGGAGCCACAGCCACTCCCCGAGACCTCAATGTACCTGCATTTTCTACCAAGCTAAGCAGCTTTTTTCAGAAGGCTCTCTAATGTCTTCTAAGTGGTGAAGAGTTTAAAAAGCAATAATCAACAGCTGTCACTAGTTGAATTCTCTATCTGCCAGGAACTGTGCAGGGCCATTTTATGTTTGGAGTAAGTTTTTTGGAGACAATGTATTGTTAAATCACATGAGGAATTTTTTTTTTCTTGAGATGGAGTTTCACTCTTGTTGCCTATGCTGGAGTACAATGGCGTGATCTCAGCTCACTGCACCCTCCGCCTCGCAGATTCAAGCAATTCTCCTGCCTCAGCCTCTGGACAGCCTCTGCCACCACACCTGACTAATTTTTGTATTTTTAGTAGAGACGGAGTTTCACCATGTTGGCCAGGCTGGTCTCAAACCCGCGACCCGAGGTGATCTGCCCACCTTGGCCTCCCAAAGTGCTAGGATTGCAGGCATGAGCCACAGCACCCGGCCTCCTTTCCTCTGCTTCTCTTCTTGCCTTCCTTTATTACTTTTTGAAATTCCTTAGAATTCATTTTGATTTATTAGTAGTATTTTTGAGTACATTGCTTTGTACAGCATTCTTGGAGATTGCTCTAGGTAAGATTATACATATGTAACTTATCACAATCTAATGGCATTGCCATTTTACCACCTTGAGAGAAGTACAGAAAACCTTATTTCCATTCAGGGTCTTGTGCCCTCTCCCCTCTTTAAATATCACTGTCCTGAGTATTTCCTCCATGTACACTGGGCACACCGGATGATAATTTCTGTTTCAACTATCAACTATGAGTTAAGAATTCATAAAGAGAAGAACAGTGTATTATATTCACCCCAATTTTTTATTCTTACTCATTCTTTTTGTATTAGGGTTTTCCAGAGAAACAGAACAAACAGAATGTGCTTGTGTGTATGTATTTGTTGTAAGAAACTGGCTCTCACGATTATGGAGGCTGACAAGCCCCAAATCTGCAGTATGGGCTGGCAGATGGAGATCTACGAGAACTGATAATGTAAGTGACATCCAAAGGCCTTTGCAGGAGAATCCCCCTCACTTGTGGAAGTCAGTCTTTTCGTTCTATTCAGGTCTTTGACTGACTAAATGAGGCTCACCCACATCATGGAGGGCAATCTGCTTACTCAATTGTTTAAATGTTAATCTCATCCAAAAACACTCCCCACGTTCACACAGAAAATTAACCACTATAGCATTATTCTCTTCTTTCCTTTCTGAAGTTCCAAGCCTCCTTCTGGTACCATTTCCTTTCTGTTTGAAGAACTTTTAGTGATTCTTTAAGGGTAAGTCTGCTACCAAGAGTTTGTTTCCTTAATCTGAGAATGTCTTTATTTCTCCTTCGTTCCTGAAGGACATTTTACCACATATAGAATTTGTAGCCAGGCACGATGGCTCACATATGTAATCCCAGGACTGTGGAGCCAGAGGTGGCAGGATCGCTTGAGCTCAGGTTTAGTTTTCAAATGTTTGATTATGATATATCTTAGTGCGTATTTCTTTTGGAATTCTGAAATCTGTAAGTTATGGCCTTTACCAAGTCTGGGTCATTTTCATCCATTATTTCTTCAAATATATTTCTAGCCCCACACTCTTTCTCCTATCCTTCTTTGATGCCCAGGATGCAAATGTAGAATTTTCTGTTATTGTCCCAAAGTTCCCTGAGGCTCTATTAATTTTTTTTCAGCCTACTTTTTCTCTGTTGCTCAGCCTGTCATTCCTGCTGATCTATCTTCAGGTTCTCCTCTGTCCTCTCTGGTCCACCAGTGAGCCCTTCTACTGAGTTCTTCAGTTCAATCACTGGATTTTTCAGTTCTGTAATTTCCCTTTGGTTCTTTCTTCTATTCTTTCATTTGTTCCAAAACTCACACAGCATTTTCTTGACAGCTGCTTTGAAGTACTCATCAGCTAATTCCAATGTCTGGGCCTCTGCATAGTGGTATTGCTCTTTCCTTGTTCCAGCAGGGCC